TAAAAGTAGAATGTACTAAAAAAAGAGAGAGAAAAGTCCTTAAACCTAGAAGCAGAAGATGCACTGATACAGCTTCATAAAGAGCTCTTACTCATATCATATCCGAAGCTCAATAAGCCAAGACAGTGTCTTAACAGAAGACACAGTAGAGTACAGCCAAAGACAGCAGAGAAATATCTAAGTAGAAAGATAATCCTTCCCTAGGTCCAGCTTTCAGTCAACTTACTTAATAAAAACACAGAAGAAACAGAATACATGAGGGGTTTAACTGGAGAGGGAGATTTGAAAAGTGTTTCCAAAAATGTGCTTCACCAAGTAAGAGTGGCAGATGGAATTTGTTGGTGCAGAAAATAAACATGAGTCTTGTCCTTGTTTAGCTCATCTCTCCCTCTTGGCTTCCCAAACCTATCATCAGCACTATATCATTCAAACACTTCGAAATCGCACCCCCATCCCTAGGGCCTGTGGCCTGCCAGTGACCCTTGCCTAAACTTTGACCAGCTCCACCCTGACTTGTGCTCTGGTTGGCTGCAGTTCAGAGACATGATGCTCTGAAGGGAGGAAATTACACCAGCCAGCCAGCACACAGTGCTCGGTATGTTTCATCACCCTCCCTCTGTCTAGGACTGTGATCCTACCTCTCGGCTGACTCCAAACTCCCACATGCACCAACAGGGAACCACCCTGCAACAGGGCGACCCACGCAGGACGTAAGTCAGGATGGGAGTGGAGGTGCATACCACGCACAGTTGTGGGGTTAACAGAGATGAAAGCAGCACAAGGCAAAGACTAAATGAGATCTCACCTCGTCCTTCGCTTACGTAATGATTTTACCATTTATCACAGTGGCCTGTTGGATGACTCACCCCACAGGAACCACGTCTTAATAACATTTGGACCCCCAGTCAACCTCACAGGTAGTAAATGCTTAGTAACTGCAATAGTCAATTCCCAATGTCAATGGCTAAAAAGAAGGCTAGCCACGCTGAATGAAACATGACAAATTTTGTAGGCATCAGCCTAACTCTTTACCATTGTGACATCTATTTTCTCCTCCTGTTCACTTCCACTCCCTCCCGGGGGGACCATGAAAAAGACAGACCAAAAATAGAAAAAGACAGATGCAAGCCAAAAAAAAAAAAAATCCAACAAGTGGTAATATTCACTTCCAGATAGGCTGAAAAACTAAAACAATGCTACAAACACCCTCTCCTGGTGATTTTTTTAATCCCCTAAAGCTACAAATTTGAAATACTTTGTGCCCTTTTAAATTCACGGCCCAAGACATACACCATCACCACCCCAATCTATAAGGCCCCATAGAATTTCACCCAAGATCAATGATGGCCCAAAGTCTCACCAAGTACGACAAAAAATCAGCAATAAACTCTGTTCTTTCCCTAAATCACAAGGACACATATTTAAAAAGTACCCAGAAAAATTAAATTATTAGATCTGCTATACCCAAGAGAAGGTATCTGGCAATAAAAAAGACGATCAAGAATAGCCAAAAATATCCAACCTTGGTAAAAAAATGTTGTCAGTGCTAATCCTTTGGTGTTTAAGTAGACACTATGATGTTCAACTAGTTGGTTCAATCATTTGAACATAACAATCTAATTACACAGGTGCTTTCATTCAAATTCCTTATTTCCAAATTTCAGTATAGTATATAATTTCTACAACTCCTCTTAGACAAGCCTCCAGAAGATATACTTCTTCTAGTGAAGTATATGACATTTTGACCATCTTTAACCCTAAATTAGATGGACACAAAGTTGTTCCCACATTATTTTTGAAGAACACACAAAGGCTTAATCTTTTAATTAAATCAAGGGTTTACTTCTTCCTAATTTCATGGCCATCACTTCCATAGAATTCTACCCCACTATGAACCTGGTGTCTTAAAAAATTCTTAAAATTCTTAACCCAAGTGAAAGGTTTATTGGGACAAAAGCAAAGCATACAAATAGAAGCAGGGACTGGTTAGCTCGGTTGATTTGTTAACACTTCTAGCAAAAATTAAGCCAGTCTCTTTTAACACAGGATTTTCCTGAGTCTTTGTCACTCTGCAGTATTACTCTCCAAAAGGAAGGTGTAGTACATGGTGATTTCCACGCTTCTTTCACAAGCGAGTTTCTTTCTTTTTTTTAATGCATTACCGATTAGTATTTAGCAAGAAAGAATATTTTGAGGAACACACTTTGAGAACCACAAGTTAGAATAAGGTGCTAACAAAACCTCAAAAATAGGTTTAACTTAACCCCAGGTACTCCAATTAGCCTTTTTCTTTCTGAAGACCATTAACTACTGTGGGCAAATATCTTTAAACACACACCTTTAGAAATAGCCTGTAAGAACACATCCATGAGCTAGCACGTATTACCCACCTTTACAGCAAAAACTCATTCAAAACTCGGACAGCTGCTATTTTGCATAAAGGACAGACTTATGAACAATCCAAGGCCCGTAAAATGCATTACTCTATGCATATTTCAAGTTCAAACTGGGTAGCTACAAATCTTCCCAATTTGGATACTTTAACCATCATAATAAAAAGGAAGACTCACCAACAGAAGCTGAGTGTTTAAGAACTGATTTCTTTGAGACTCCTTTTTCAATTCGTATCGTGGCCCACTGTTCAAAAACAAGAAGTATTAATGTAAACTGTGCCACAGACGGGATGTAAAATGTGTAAACCATGCGTATACAGATGTGAAATTAATCATTAAGCCCTGGTGCTATTTGAATGGAAGAGAGACACTGAATCTCTGATGTAATAGTATTCCAAGTCCCAGGTATACTTTTATATTAGTTACCGATAACGCCCAAATAAAATGAGGGAAAGATCATGTTTCCCCTATTTAAACCCCTCACACACACCTCATACCCCCAATAAACTGTTCCTTGAAAAGGTCGTGAAGCTTGACCGGCAAGAATACAGACTATGGCATCAAGTCTATGTGGGCTTAAAGTTACCTAATCCTTCTCAGCCTGCTTCCTCATCAGTAAAATGAGGATAATAGTTCCTGTCCCATGGGGTTGCTATGAGGATTAAACGAGATTAAGACATGTAAAGACATAAACACAGGGCACAAAGAATATTATTTTCATAACAAAGTAGGCGTTCAAAGGTGAGACACACTCAAAGCTGCCTAACCGCCTGTATCAGAAACAAGCTTGCAGAAGGATCAGCATGAAAGCTGGAAAGCCGGAAAGGAATCCATGAAGTCACTAACAAGACATCTGCCCACCGGGCCGCCTACCTGTTAGGATGTGTAGGGAAAATGTTATGCTTGTGAGGGACCACTGGTTTGAGAGGATTTAAAAGCAGGAAAAGTGAACTCTCATTTTGTTCTGAATAAATATAGGAGTGTAAAGAAATACACCAAGACATGATTCGCTATTTTCTTCTTTACACTTCTTTTCTGCATTTCCAAAATTACCTACCATTAACATCATAATTCAAAACCTGCAAGTGAACTCTTTGGACAGTGCTCCAGAAAATCCCAACAGCGATTTTTCTAGTTTTGAGTATTACTGAGATGATTACAATAGCACAAGCTAACAATGTCTAAATTGACTCAATCCGGGGAGGTGGGAGAAAAGCAAAACAAAAGGGAAAAGGCATTGTAATCATTATAATTAACAACTTTGGCACACTTGAAGGGACAAAAAGACAGAATTTATTAGATAAGTCAAGGCAAAAACTTCAATTATTGCTGGGCTCAGAAGAGATTAAATAGAGAGGTAAAAAAAAGTGTCTTTTCAAGTGAGTAAGAAAATAAGTGATAGAGAATAAATAAACTAAAGCAGGTACATGATCTGACTACGTGAGGACCCCTGCACAACATCCCACAGAGCAAAGAAGGAACATGCCACTGGCGCTTAGAGAACAGGCTATAAATAGAGGCCTAATCTCCCAGCTTCAAGTGGCAAGTCATAAATGATAATAAACGCAGTCTTAATCTGGTTGCGTCCTTTTCTCTTCCTTGCTAATCTGTGCAGAAATTTTCAAACTCAGGACTTAGATCTCTCATCTTTCTCAACAGAGATAAAAGTTGATTTCCATAGTTTTTCACTTTTAAAGCCTTGGTACCTACTAGCATCTGAAAGTGGACCAAATATATGATTACAATAAAATTTGGTAAAAACTCACACCCTTGTCCTGGAGCTTGCTTTTTTCATTGCAAACATGTGGTTTTATATTTTGCATAGACGGTCATCACCTCGGGCAAGGGCGATTATTCCATGCTCCATATGATGGAAAACACTTCATGGCTTATGGGCTGAATGTGTGTCTCTCCCCCAAATTCATATGCTGAAGTCCTAACTTCAAAACCTCAGCATATGACTGAATTTTGGAAATTGAACCTTTAAAGAGGTAAATTAAAATGAGGCCCCTAAGATGAGACCCTAATCCAGTATGACTGGTGTCCTTATACGAAGAGGAAGAGAACCAGGGACATGTACACAAAGAACAGGCCATGTGAGGTCACAGCTAGAAGGCACCATCTACAAGCCAGGGAGACAGGCATCAGAAGAAACCAAACCTGCTGACACCTTGATCTTGGGACTTCTGGCCTCCAGGACTGTGAGACAATAAATGTCTGTGGGTTAAGCCACCCAGTCTACGGGCCTTTGTTATGGCAGCCCCAGCAAATGAAGGTGAGGGCATTCCTCCAACAGCATCACGTGCTCCAAAGAGCTCCCTGCTCCATCATCAGACCAGTTTCAGAACACAGACCCTCTCCTGAAACGCTGACTCCGAAGTCTGTCCTCCAAAACGCAGTTAACAGTGCTTAAGATGAGCAAGTCTGCAGGCTGGAGAAGTCATTTAACTGGGGAATTTGTACTGGAAAACCGTTTCCTTCCTTAGGCTGACTTTCCAGCAAAAGTGACCCAGTGCCCGCCCTCTGCAGCCGGACAGACAGATGTACACTGCTGCCACTTCCTTGCTTTAATCATCTCAGCCAAAATTTGAACCTCCTGGGACCTCAGTTTCATCATCTCTAAACAATACCAAGGGCTGCTGCAAAGATTAAAGGAGATAATTTATCCGGTGATCACCACAATCAGCCACAAAGTAGAAAAACAGCTTTCTCTTCCCTCCTCACACCCCACTAGGTAGGTACCAAATGGTCAGCTTTTTCAGACCATCAGCACATCTCCCAATAAATTGCTATTTCTCTTTCACCAAGCCAGCTTCTCTAGATGGTCAGGTTAAGCCTAAACACAGAGAAAGAATATCTCTTTAGAGGTACACATCTGCCTTAAGGTACCACTAAAGATGCAGCTCCGTCTGCAGGCTGACCCTGAAGTGGGACAACAGCTTCCAACAATCCCAGCTCCTACTCCCCATCTTGCTCCCCGACCAAAGAGAGTGGCATGTCACTCTCAATCAGGCCGTCGCTCCACTGAATTTCAAAATCCTCCTGAAAGGAAGGAAGTAGCTCCACAATTCACCAAAAAGAAAAGGTTAAGTCTAATTTTTAAAGCTTAGGCCAAAAGCTTGCAAAAACATGCCACTGTCACCTAGACAATTCACCTTCCAGTTTTCACACTGAAAAGACATTTAAGAATTGACCAAAGAGAGGGAAAGAAGGGAAGAAAAATGCTTAAAATTATGTAAAAATTCAAAAGATTGGGCTTACTCAAACAACAGCTGGCCATCATCTATAGCAAAATAAAAACTGTCTCTCGGCAGAGGCTGTCGACTTGGCAGAGTAAGAATTCAGGCTCTAGTCTCAAATAAAAATCCTGATTCTACCGCTGACAGCTGTACGTCTCGTCTCTGCCCAGGCAGATTACCTCTCTGAACCTCCATTCCCCAATCTATCAACAGGAATCATCAGGGATCCTATCCCAGAGTTGCTGCGGAATTCAGTTAACTGAAAAGCATGTTGCTCTGGTAGCTTTTCTTTATTATTACTTTCTGTCATAAATAGTCATGGCCTTCTGGCACATTGATTATATTTCCAACCCCAGGGGTAATACCTGAGTATGATAATAACAGAGGTGCTCACCATCTGAGCATTATTAGCATGCCTTTTTAAAAAGGCAGAAGACTAAATGGTGGATGGAGGAGAGGGTAAGAGAAAGACTAGTAATGAAAAAAGGCAGGAGTAGTCTGCTCTGAGCACATGTGCTAACCCATCAAAGATCTGAAGGTAGGTTAAATCTTAGCCACATAGGAGTAAAAAAAAACCCAAAAACACAACCGAAGAGTATTCCAATTTAAACTCCACTAAGATCTAAGCACCTACTATGTGTCAAGTGCTTTCATTTCCCTCTTCTCACTTAATCTCCACAATAACTGTACAAGGCATATTCTTATATCCACATGGAGAAACTGAGGTGGAAATGTTAAGTGACCTGCTCAAGGTTATAAAGCCAGAAATCTGGAAGAAGTTGTTATGTTTATTCTTTAAAAGTTGAAGGGAAAATTAGTCCATTACCATTTATCACCCGCTTATTGCTTCTGTTATCTGGTTGGACTAGATAATGTGCGTACCATTCCCCCGCCTTCTTCTCCATCAATCCGACATTCTCTTCCCATTCTTTTTTTCCCTCTACTCATGAGCCTCAGGCCAATGAATTGCAATCCTTCACCACCCTCATCCCCATCATTAACTTTGCAATTAACTTTCACCGGTTGAGCAGAACATATTTCAACCTTTAATCCACATTTCTATTTGATAAACATAAAAAATTCACAAATGCTCTCCCAGCGATTCAGATATATACACCTCACCATCCAGAGACTACCCTCTAAACATCCCCCCAGCCAAAAGTTTTACTTTTTATAGTTTGTATTCCTAAAAAAATTTTCCCTAATATAGTTGTAATACTGACATATATACTCCTTAGAAATTATTACTTACCCCTTGAAAATTAATGGTTTAGAGAATCACAGCACTTACTCTAAGCTAAGAATTCAAGCCTTGTCCTCAAGTAGCTTGCCGTATCAGGGACTTATGACCACATCTGGAGATACTCAGCAATGCAGAAGGCAGCATTCAGTAGGTGCTCAATAAATAATATTACCTGAACTGGTGAGCTGCGAAGGGTCCAAAGAAGAGTACATAGCTGGGTGAGTTACTTGACAATTAGCAATCACCACAGTCAGCTATTCAGAAGGTACCCCACACACATTTCAACTTCCAGAATTTGAGTTTATTGGTCATGAAATAGCCAAGAAAACTTATCAAAATAAACACATAGTGTATAAAACTAAGTGACCTTTTAAAATGGTACATAAATTACAACCAAGGAAACCTGAGAAATATCCAAATCCAATCAAAGAATCCAAAGAATATTCTTGGGACGGGAATACAAAAGAAACAAATCAGCTGAGAACATCGTAAGGAAAAATGAGTAACAGAAGGGCTGAGCCTTGAATAGAATTTACAAGAAGCAGGGTATTTGCCCAGATCAAAAGATGTTCTAATATTAACCAACCAACACATTTTTTTTTAAATGGAGATACTGGGTTTTGAACCCAGGACCTCCTGCATGCTAAGCATGTGCTCTATCACTAGCTATACCCACACCCCAACCAGCACAATTTTTACGGGATTTATCCCCATGGTTGGAAAAGCAATCCCTTGTACTAACTCCTGCCAGAGAGAAGTGTCTTTGAAGCATCTAAGCTGTTCTAGTTGGAGGATGAGAAGCCCTGGGTGGCCATCTCCTCTTCTTGCACCTAAAGCAGATATGGCTCCTGGGATTGCAAGCCCAGCTGATTCCAAACACAGGAGCTCCAGGAAGCTACCACCAAGTCAGAGCCGGCTCACAAAGTGAATCCCCATTCTAATCCCATATATGCCAAGCGTTCCTCTGACCTAGTAACTTCAGTCTTAGCAAAGAAGATGGTTCCTTAGGCTCTCATCTACCTGGTTTCCAAGTTAGGCAGCATATCTCCCACTACAATTAGGAAACTTGGCATTCTTGACAGTTTGATTAACAAGGAGGGCATGTCTCAAAGTCTCTTCCAACCTAGATGGGCAAAAAATCAGGTCTACCTTGGACTGGAGTTATCCCTTCAATATACAGTTATTTGCCAGGCTAAGAGCAACTATCAGGCCTCTCTTCTTGACATCTCTTTAGCTGTACCCAGTGTGCCCTGACTCACTTAAGCAAGGATACAGGACTCAGCACCTGGAGGACAGAGTGTGCGATTTACTTCCAGATATTCTCACCTGGGATATAAATTCCAAAAGACATTGCTCTATTGGGGGGGGCGGTGTACAGCTTAAGTGGTAGAGTGCATGCTTAGCATATACAAGGTCCTGGGTTCGATTCCCAGTACCTCCTCTAAAATAAATCAATAAACGTGATTACTTCCCCCTCCCAAAAAAAAAACCAAAAACAAAAAAACCCCAAAAGACATTGCTGTATGGGAGAACAGTTCAGTCATTCCAGAATTCTAAGAAAGAGTGAACACCAGCTGAAGAGAATCATCTGCTCCGGGCAGAGTGTTCTGAAGACGATCTAAGGATCTAAACAATAAGAGGCAGCTAAGCAGTGAGACCAAGTTCAGAGTGTTAGTGTTATGTCCATAAGAAAGGTGTAAAGCTGTGAGGTATCTCCCAAGCAGAAACAACAGGGCTTTTAAAACGAGAGCTGAGAGCGAAGAATCAAATATAACTTCAAAGACTAGACAGAAAAACAGCCACAAAGAGAAAGCACAGCAAAGATACGGGGTGAAACAGGCGGTGGGCTGGTGGAGGAGGTTGGCAGGAGGCTAGCTAGTGGGAGGTCAGCAGCGAATCTCCAGGTAGGAGATAAACAGATGAGAGATGCATACCTGGGAGCCACCCTTCCAGCTGAGGGAGGAGAGCAAATCAAGCCAAACCCTGGGGCAGACCGAGAATAAGGGCACAGAAAGGAAAACCCGTATTAGAAGGTCCTGTGGTAACTAGAGAAACAAAGAGGCCAGAATCTAAGTAATAATACTATTCTTTTAATACCAGCAAACGCATGTATAGCACCTAACACGTACAGGTACCATTCTAAGATACTTGACATATTTTAATTCACTTAAACTGCCCTTTGGAAATAATGTTATCGTTCCTCCTGTTTTATAGATGAAGAAAATGAAACACAAGAAGTAGGCGACTTCCCATAAAGTCATATATTGAGAAGCAGAGTTGGGATTTTGGTCCCAAATCAAAGTAAATCCGTACCCAGAGTCTACTATTAACCACCAGCTAGAGGCCCTCTCTCCAGTTAAGGCTCCTGTCTCCACCACCTAATTCAAGCAAATCACGGAGCTTCTGAGTTTGTTTCCTTACTTGTAAAGGGGGATAACACTTGTTCTCCCTAGCTTCCAAGGCTTCGGGGAGCATCTGATGAGAGAGAGAGTCAAGAGGGAAACCTCTAGGATTTCATAAAGTCCTGTATTAAGGGTAAACTGAAGTTGTCCGCCACCAGGCCCACTTCCATCTTACACCTTTCTTTGCAAAATGTGAAAACGAGTGTAGGGAGAGCAAAGGTCAAAGATTATAGACTTTCAACGACATTTCAAGTACCATTGGTTAGATAAAATTCCCATGACTGTTAAAATATAATCAGGTTTCTTTCTACCAAGCAGCAATTGGTTTCTTATCTTGAGCATAAACTGGAACGATGCCTTTCTGGACAAGATGCCTTAGTCCACCAAAGGACCTCTGAAACTGGGGCTATAAAAACTAAGGAGAGTGACAAGACAGCAGTCCTGTATAATGGATTTAAAGAAAGCTGGTGATAGAAAAAGCAGTAGCACTGTTACTCTAATCAGTAAAAATCAGAGTAAGAATGACAGTAGGGATGGGGGTAGTTCTGCCCTCAACCAGAGGAACATCAGGGTGGTCTAATGGTCTCAGTCCGCATCCTTCCAGCTCTGCGTGCGGAAGAAGCCGGAATACAGCGGCGGTTAAAATGCACACACCCCCGGACCACTGACCTCCCTAACTGGTCTCCTGGCGTCTACTCGGCTCTCAGCGCTACCCTTGGCTCCCCCACCCCGGATTCTCCCTAAAACCCTCCGAGGAGGGAGCGCCGCATCCCTCCATGCACTCACCTCTAAAGTTTTCACTAGGATCTTCATGTAGATCTGGGAGATGCCCAGCGACACCCCAAAGGCCGAAGGCAGGAGTATGAAGCCGAGCACCAGAGTCATCCAGGTGTAAAGGATCTTCCCGGCCAGCTCTGAGCCATCCATGGCTCGGCGCACCCAGAAGGGGTCTGCGGAGGCTGTCCGACCGTGACGGCTGTCCCTGTCCCCAGGTAGTCGGGAGGCAGCTCCGGGAGCAGAGACGCGGAGCCCGGACCCTGAGAGTCAGCGCCGCCGCCTCCCGACACTCACCTCTGCAGGGAAAAGAAGAGAAGGAAAAAACTTTCAGAAGGACAGCAGTTTCCTTCCTTCCTCTTTGGGCTCCTCCTCGTCGCGGATAGTTAACTCTTTCTCCGCTGGAGGTCCAGGCCCCAGCTGAAGCCGCCGCAGCGTGCGCAGACCTGGCAGCGCCGACCTGACGACGCGGGCTCGGGATGAGCGTAGGGACACCGCGGCGTGGGCCGGGCGCACGAGCGCGGCGGCGAAGGCGCCCCACCCTCTGCCTGATTTCCGCTGGGTGGCGGTTTCGACGACCCGGCGGTGACTCAAGGAGGCCCTCCCGGAGCGAGGATCCCTGCGGCGAAGCACGCCGCACCGCCGCACACCCGCCGCCGGCGAAACAGGCGCCTGGCCAAGGACTGCGCCGCTAGCGGGCCGCGCTCGGAAGCCCCGCGCTCTACTTCTGTGCCCTGCCCTCGCCCCACTTCTGTGCCCTGCCCTCGCCCCACCTCCTCCGCCACCCAACAGGGAGCTTCTAGGCGGGATCTGCACCGAAGGCGCCGCAGCCTCCCTGGGCGGCCTCCCGCCTTCCCCGCCGCCCGCCTCCCTCAGCACCCTTAGCAGAGGTCCTTTTGGGGAAGCAAGTTTTCATCTGCAAAATGTTAGCATTTTCTCACTCCCCCCCCCCATTAACTATTGACGTTTGAGAAGGTCCCCTTTGGGTATAAAACGACCTCTCGGAAGGGCTTTCAAGGAGAGGGAAATGCCCAGGGCTCTGCTGAGCTGCGGTGTCCGCCGCTTCCAGGTCTCCCACACCTCCGTCCCCCGACTCCTTCCCCTCCTTCTACGGAGCTGCGGGCGAGATCTTGCTTATCCGGAGTGGAAAGCTCACTCTCCGCGAGTCGCCTACCTCACTCAGCCGCCGTGTCCCTGGGCCAGAAATTCTTCCGCTGAGGGTCGTTCTCTTCCTGGGACAAGATTCCAACCGCAGCTCCCCCTCCCATTCACCCAATACTCTGCTCACTGAAGCCGCAGAAAAACGGCAGGCCCGCGCAAGGCTTCCCCAAGCGGACGCGCGCCTCCGGGGTGTTCAGTCCCCTGCACCGCTGCCTGGCTAGCAAAATCTTGTACGGGTATTGACTTCACTGCAGTTCATGCCTCTTAGAAACCTGATCTGTTTTTAAGATGAAGCATAATGTTGATGTTTTGTGCTAAATATGTTTATTTCCAGTATTCCAGAAGTGATGTTGAGACCGGAGTAGACAAGAAAATCAGGCTCCGCAGTGTTTCCAGATTCCCCAGGGCTTCAGGTGTTATTTCCAGCTGACAAAACTGGAAGGGCAAGAAAATGGAATTGAAAGAATATTGGTAACAAATCCTGCAAAGTAGGCTGCCCCTGGCCAGGGTGTGGAAAAAATGGGAAGCGGAAGGGAGGAGAAGACCCCCTGCAAAGAATGTTTGTTCTCTGCACCTCCTGCCAGGCAGGTATCACAACCCCCTCCCTCACTAAGAAGGGAAACAAAACCTATTACTTGGTCCTGAAAACCAAGTTCTGGATGAAGTTTCAGGTGCTCAGCTTCTCAAAATTAAACCTCTGGTCTGCCATTTTATGAAAACACAGATGCCAAAATCTTCCCAAAGCCCTTGTTAGAAATAAACATTTAGCACAAAACATCAAGGATTATATTTGAGACAGGAAGGGGGCAGGGCACAGCCATTCAAGGAATGATACAGCAATTAACATCAAAATGGTAGAAGATTCAACCCCCAGTAGGCCCTGAGGCTCGAGATGGTGGGAAATTTGACTTCTAGCAGATCTTGAGCTTCATTATAGGCCCAATGTAATATATTAAAACAGTAAATAACATGCCCACAGGCACCATGGCAGTCCCAAGGCTAGCTACAAAAGGTCAAAGAGTGGGAAAATGGCCAACTTCCTGGGAATCCCAGCCGCTTCCCCAGGCTAGTTAGACTGGTCCTTCCACTTATTAGCATATGAAGCCACCAAGCCCATAAAAATTGGCAACACAGTGCCTCATCGGCCACCCACCCTCTCTCTCTCCCTCTTCAGAGATGGCACTGCACACCGTTTATGGAGTGTGTACCTACTTTTAATCTGAGCACCCAACCCCTACACCTCTTGGCCTTTCTCTTGCCTTTCAATGTATCTCTCTGAATAAATCTACCTTTACTTCACTGTGGCTCACTCTTCAGTTCTTTCCTGAGCGAAGCCAAGGGCCCACACTTGGCGGGGCACGTCCCAGGGGCTCAACCGAAGCCTGGGACACAGCCTTCCTCACGTCCCACATCCATTTTTCCTGCATCATATTGACTCACTTAACACTACACATTCAGCCAGAACCTACCCTCCTTTTATTTCCTCAAAGGCGGATGACTAAGGAATGCTGAATGTTTATACCACAGTTTACCCAACAAGTCCCAGTGCAGGCAACTTCGTTTAAAGGTGGCCTTTCTCTACCCATTCAGATGGAGCAGCTAAGTGACCACAATCTTCAATGATTTTTCTCGCTCATGACCAAATTCTATGAACTGGTTTTCCTTCTTTGGTTAGATGATGATGATGATGATGGAAGAATTACTGACCCACAACAAAATAGTGTAATGGTAATAACATGGAATTTGAAGTCTTTGACTGACTCCAACACAGACACTTATTATAAGTTTGAACAATTCATTTAGTCTTCTTTGCTCAGTTTTCTCATCAGTAAAATGGACTTTTTAGGGTCAGATATGATGATGAGTTTTGTGGGGCCAACCGACATCCTTCAAGGTCTACTGACCCCTATTCCTGGGCTCTCAGATGTCTGCCTGCAATCCCTCAACAAATGGAGTACATTCTTTACTGGGTGTGTTTGCTCTGACAAACGAATAACCCTAGATAATGTCTAGACACAATAGCTCAGCCTGGCTTGTTACAGCTCACCTTATCAGAGTCATAAAACCCACAGCCCTTCACTGACCCTAAACTTCTTACCTCACCTACAACCAATCAGGGACTTGTGCACAAGCCAATCAGGCACCTTGTGACCCTATCGTATAAAAGACTCCAACAGCCTGCCCTCAGGGCTCACACAGGCACATCTTTTCTGTGTGGCCTGCCATTGTCTATGGCAGTGTAACTATTAAACTTTTCCTTGTTCTTAAACTTTCCTTGGCCTCTGGTAAGTTCTTTTACCAACCCGCATCTCTGACCACCACGCTATGTCCCACAACAAGTTTGAAATTGCTTTGGTAATGACAAAGCTCCGTGCATAGATGGAAGGCAGCTTGGTGCAAATAGAAAAGCTCTCCATCTTTCACCTGAAACACGGGAGCACAGACAGGCTCCGCTTTGCAGGAGAGGGAGGAGAAGAAACGGTGGGCAGCCCCAACGCTCCCTTTCATTCAGGGCACCGCTCCCCTCTCCTCACATACCTGGAGGCCCTTTCAATTCAAACAGTAGGAAGGATCCTCCCTCTCTTCCTGCACTCAGGACTCCCTTCATTTACTGTATTAGTTTCCTAGGGCTGCCAGGACAAATCACCACACACAGTGACTTAACACCACACCAATTCATCCTCTCACAGTTCTAGAGGCCAGAAGTCTGAAATCAAGGCATCAGCAGGGCCAATCTCCCTCCAAAGACTCTAGGCGTGAATCTGTCCTTGCTTCTTCCAGCTTCTGGTAGCTTCCAGCATCCTTGGGTTGTGGCAGCATCATTCACGGCCTCAGTTTTCACGTGGCCTTCTTCCCTTCTCTTCTTTTATAAAGACACTTACCCTCCTGGATTTAGGGCCCACTCCGATTCAGGATGATCTCAACTTGAGATTCTTCACTTAATTATACTTAATCTACAAAGAATGTTTTTTCCAAATTAGGCCCCATTCAAGGTTAGGATTTGGACATATCTTTGGGGAGGCTACAGTTCAACCCACAGCTCTTACCGTATCTGTGAACTAAGAAAATAACACCTACCTGGAAATGTTGTTACTGGGATTTGGGATTATATAGTTACACTTCAGTCAATATGCAGTTGTGAGTTTGTTAGGACAATTCTGTTTTTCACCTATTGACCTGGCATATACTTTTATTTTTTTTATTTTCGGGGGGGAAGTAGGCAATTAGGTTTATTTTTTATGTATTTATTTTTAGAGGAAGTACCTCTGGCATATACTTTTAATGATGCTTCCTTTCACTCTCAAAAATGTCCTAGTTTGAGCGATAAATCACATGATTCCCTTATGCTTACATAACTTCTAAGATCCCTTCCAGTCCTAAAATATTAGACTCTTTGATAAAACTCACTGCCAAGTCCATGCTTGACCTCTTGTCAACATTTGAGGCCAAATAAAGTTGTATAGGGGAATGAAGAAAAGGGACTGATTAGCAGCTAGTCCAGAGTTTCTCAAACTTTAATGCGGGTAGGAATCCCTGGGGCTCCTGGGATTGAAAATTCTTCCTAGGGCTGGAGTGGGACCTGGGATTCTGCATTTCTAATGAGCTCCCAGGTGATGCTGAGTTGCTGATGTACAGCCCACACCTTGAGTAGCAAGCCCTTTGAGTGTGGACAGAGAGGGGAGTTTTATATTTAACTGATAACAAAGGCTGTGGGAGTCCAGATAAGTCTCAGGGAACCAATGCAAGAAGAATTGACTCTGAAGCCCTAGCTCCTCCTCAACTGAAAACTCCTGTTCTTTGCATCTTCATACCCCTGCTTTGACAGCAGTTGTGGACAACCGTGAACAGAAGGGTTTGGGCTAAAAAGCCTTGAGCAAACGTCAGTACTCCCATGAATAGATGCCTATGACAAGTAAGATATCACAGTTGGAGCCAAATGACCAATACTGACGTCACTTAAGAGGGAGAGTAGAACTGAGAAACCTGGGGGTGAAACAGATTGCTGAAGCATTTCATTAAACAGAAAGGTTTTGCATTTTTTGTCTCCAGTCTCTGTGTGAGACCTCTCTTTTCTCTAATCTCACACCTCTCTTGAGCCTTCATCATACCTTGCCTTGATTTGTGTATTGGCTTCATCCTTCCACTATAAACTGCATAATACCAGAAACCACATCATTTCTCTGTAGCCCCCTCCCATTACTCCACCCCGTCTCCACCTGCAAAGAATTTTACTTTAAGCCACACTACTACTGTTCAAAGCCAGCAGACTCCCTAATGATCACAAATTATAATCCAAATATATTGAATAGCTGAGGCTAGACCTTGAAGCACCCCAACTTTAACTCTCATCACAATCCAAAAAAACTTTCTACTTTGTGGGCCCCTCTCAATAAATTTTACCCGACCTGACTTTATATTCCTTCACCATGCTCTCACATAAGGGTAAAAAAGGAAAATAACCTTTGATATTGGTTCCCACACATATTCCCTAGGTTTCTGCTGGTGTAAATTGGAAAAATCATGCGGTTCTCTTGGACCACAGTGCACCTTCTCCTGGAGGTGCCTCACAATTTGTACTTCACCTTTTGGGTCCTGTCGGGAGTTGAGTTTAGCTCCAGCTGTGGAAGCAAAGCATGATAGAGGCAGGTTCTGAGAAGGATCAGCAGTGTTTTGTGGGGCACATACTTCAAGGGAGGCCATGACAGGTTCTTTGGACAGAGGTAGAAAGCTGCTTCTCCTGGCAAAGATGACTCAGCAGAATTTAGGGGTTCATTGTCCTCAGCTTCATCAAGATCTGCCCCTCTGTGTCCCCATGCCAATCTTCAGGATCCTGTTCCTTGCCAATCAGCGCCCTCACTTTCGTGTTGTAATTCAGCCACTCACAGGATGGGGTTCAGAAATCTTGGCCCATGGTGACAGGAGATGAGATTTTTTCCTTCTGGAAGGATATAGAAGTTTTCAGACCATTGCTATAGAGCTCATCCTGAGAATTTGAAGCCCTGACCTAACCTTTTTCTTTTCTCTACTGCTGGAGGGCAGTTAGGAGCAACTAGCCAACTTCATGATATCCCTTAGCTTGAGTAAAATGTCCTAGTATGACTATGCGATTATGCTTTACATCAGAAATTGACACACTGTAAAATGACTATGCTTCAATTTTTAA